AACATGGTGGTACAGTGGAACCTTGGCTCGCAAACGTCTCCGTTGACGAACGTTTCGGAACCCAAACGCCGAAAACATGGAAGTAACTGCTTAGGTTTTCAAACGATTTTTGGAAGCCAAACGTGCTACGCAGCTTCCGTTTTGCGTTTCCCTATTGAATTGAGGCTTCCGCTTTCAGTTTTTGAAGATTTTGGAAGTCGAACAGTCCTCCAGAACGGATTACATTTGAAAACCAAGGTTCCAGTGTACAGCTGTAAGAGCATCACACTAGCAACAAAACCAGGTAACTGATCTCTCTGGTATCTCTTTCAAATTTCAATTGTTGACTGAGGGAAAGCAACAGAATATTACCTATGTATGTGTATGTTCACTAATTAGGAACACTACAAAACATTATCATTAGTAGTAGTAATAGTAGTTATATACCGCCCTATATCCGGAGGTCTCAGGGTGGTTCATAGGAACACTACAAAACATCATCATCATCATCATCATCATCATCATCATCATTATTTATATATCGCCCTATACCCAGAGGTCTCAGGGCGGTCCACAGAACAAAATTGAAATATAAAACCACAAAATATATAATCAAAATAAAAACAACCCCAAACCCCAAAACATTCTCCCACCCAGTAAAACTGGAAGATTCGCATGGCAAGAAAGCACTGGCACACCCACACCGAACATTTAAAGTGTATGGCTCCCCCCCTAAAAATCATGGCAACTGTAGTTTAACCATACAGAGCTACACTTTCTAGCACCGTTAACAAACTACAGTTCCCATGATTCTTGGAGTAGAGTCATGTGCTTTAAATATGACTTAAATGTATGGGGTGCATGTGACCTGTGACACAGGTTTCCCACACTAATGGGAACTAGATCACACCTACAACACAGCTGGGGGTGACCAGAAGCGAAGGAGACGTGAGCTACTGTGCCTTAAATACAGTAAAGGGGATTTACTGCATGCAACATTTCTGACCTTTACAACGAATGGGGAACCTTCGGTATTCCAGATGTTATTGAATGACAGCTATCAACACTGAGCATTGGCCATGCTAAGGGGGGATGATGGCAGATTATTGTTGTTGTTCTTGTCCAAAACATCTGGAGAGTCACAGATTTCTCATCTTGTAATCATGGCAAATGGCAGCTTCTGAATTTCCTCTTCTGCATAATTATTAGAGTCACAATACCCCATCCTTCTTTGTTTCTGGCCATCCTACATTTAAGCCTTGCTAAATGTATTATAAATGTACTGTAATAACATATTTCCTTCATATGTTTTCATGGCCTCAAGGGCTTTCAAGCTACTTAATGTGAATCCACAAATTAAAACAAGTTCTTAACTGGGGTTTTACTAAAAATATTTTTCAAAAAAATGTATTGTCTCATGAAAATATGATCACTTCCCACTTTATTATCTCTCCTTTTCCTATGCTGGAGTTGTTTTAAAGCATTTTCCCCCTCAGCCCTCACAATTTGTTTTTCTCCCTTTTGCTCAGTTTTCTTCATGTTTTAACAGTGATTCCAACAGAGGATGGTGATTTCCAGCCAATCACTGCTGTGCGATTGTTCAGTTTTAATAAGTGTGATCAATACCATCAGCTTTCGCCTTTAAATGCTAATGAATGCTTTAAGAGAGCAGATGTGGACACACAGTAGAGTGTAGATTAAAATTAGGCACAGAATTAAATTGCTTACAAACAGCAAAGGAATCCATTTGGACATTCTTAATAACCAACTGCAGCAAGCTGGTGAAGCCTCAGGACCGCTGCTAAAAAAACCCAAACCAAGCAAACCCAACCCTCACACATTCAATATTAAAATATGCAAAACATTCATAATCATACATGTTTTGATGCAAATTTATATGGAACCCCTAGGAACCTATTTTTCATGGCACCTGTTAACTTGGCTTGGCAGGTTCCAAGGTGAGAAAGGCCTGAGAGGAACAGCAGCGAACCCAGCAGAATTAAGTGTATTGGCCTGGCCTCTTCTAATGGGGTAACGAAGGACATGGGTACCTCTGATATACAGCTGTTCCTTCCACCAGCCCTGCCCCAGCAAGTCCAGAGAGGACAACCCTGCTTTCAAGAATGTTTTAACAGTGGGAAATGAATTTCCAACTGCGACAGTAGGCAGATTTGTCTGTAGCGCTTCAGAATACATAAACAGCATAAATAATCTGAAAAATTTGAAGCAAAAGAGCTGAGCTAGAACTTTTTGAGTCAACGTCCCCCGCACTAGGCCTTACAAATTTTTATTTTAAATATGGAGGAAACATTCAAAACTTGTATCCCCTTAAAGTGGTTTGAAATGGCATAGTTCAGCTGTTTGTAAGGTGGAAAAAAGTGGCTAGCTGGAAGAATGGTCTAACGACAAGTGAAGGATGCCAAGTGGACTCTAAATAAATGATGCGGCTATGCGAGGAAATGATGAGGACTGTATGCTTGGAACCGGAGCAGGAAACCTGATTTTAAGAAATTGTATTAAATTTAATTTCGTTTGATTTGTAATAATTTGGAAAAAAATAATTTGAAATGGCATAGTTCACTCTACCAATTTGGGATTCTTCTCTTATTTTGCTTCACGTACAGTGGTACCTTGGGTTACATACACTTCAGATTACATACGCTTCAGATTACATATGCTTCAGGTTACAGACTCCACTAACCCAGAAATAGTGCTTCAGGTTAAGAACTTTGCTTCAGGATGAGAACAGAAATCGTGCTCCGGCGGCGCAGCAGCAGCAGGAGGCCCCATTAGCTAAAGTGGTGCTTCAGGTTAAGAACAGTTTCAGGTTAAGTACGGACCTTCAGAACGAATTAAGTACTTAACCCGAGGTACCACTGTATAGGCTAAGGCTGGGTACACACTAGCTGATTTGTAGAACACAAAAAGGTAGCTTTCCTCAATCCAGAAGCATTCGTGCTCATTCCCAACACACTGCTTCCAATCTATATTGGTTTTAGATCCCATCACCCACAAGTGTAGGTATGGTTACTTGATACACATTTCAAAACTCTCCCCTTGGTTAGGTAATCTACACCTTTTCCTCCCCTCACCTGCCCCAGGTGAATTATGATCCTGATATAAACCCGTCTGCATTGTCATTGGGCAGATACAGGTACAGCCAACTACGTTGGCTTTCAAACTGACACACTGTGAGCTAACACAGAATCCATCAGCAACGAGCTTATATTTTTGGAAAAACCAGTTCCTCAAGAAGCACTTTTCAGGGGCAAAAAAAGAAGCAATGTCTAGTCTAGAGCGTGGGGGCTACACTGGAAAAACAAGTACAGTGCTACCTTGGTACTCAAACGGCTTGTCTCCCGAACAAATCGGCTCCTGAACACCACAAACCCAGAAGCGTTCTGGTTTGTGAACGTTTTTCAGAATCTGAACGTCCCGCAGCTCCTGCAGTCGACCGTAAGCCGCGCCTTGGTTTTCGAGCCGTTTCAGGAGTTGAACAGACTCCCGGAACGGATTAAGTTCAAGAACAAGGTGCCACTGTACAGCGGTACCTCTGGTTAAGTACTTAATTCGTTCCGGAGGTCCGTTCTTAACCTGAAACTGTTCTTAACCTGAAGCACCACTTTAGCTAATGGGGCCTCCTGCTGCCGCCGCACCACTGAAGCACGATTTCTGTTCTCATCCTGAAGCAAAGTTCTTAACCCGAGGTACTATTTCTGGGTTAGCGGAGTCTGTAACCTGAAGCGTATGTAACCCGAGGTACCACTGTACTCGGCCTCCACTGAGGGTAGAACAAAACGCCGTGTGTACGCAGCCTAGGCCTCCATTTCCCTAAGTTTCAAATAAAAGTTTAGCCGCGTGATAAAGCTGCTTTCATGGGAAGCTGACCATGCAGAATCCCAAAGTTCTCCCCTCTCCTGTAACAATCCCAAAAGGTAGGGTTCGTGGCTTGAAGTGTTGGCTTAACCTTTGCTTTTCTCCTTGCCCTCTAAGTAGCAGCCATCTGCTACAGAAAGCAGCTACCTCTGGCAACCCCTCCCGATTATGTGTAACCCACTGCCGTACATTGCCTTAACAAGGCTGTACATGCTCAGTGGGAGAAGCAGGGAGCAGGTCCACTGCAGGCACCTAGCTCATTAGCTCAGAACAGTTTGGATGGTGCCTGTTGTCTCCTATTTGTAAAGCCCTAAACCCTTAAGGACAAGGTCAGGACTGAGGTTTCCCTTAAAGTTTTAAAGCAACTTACGGATTTCCACAGAGCTGCAAATTCCTTGTTCTGCTGACGTTTTCTATCTTATAAAGGGCTGCAAGTTTTTAGTTCCTTATTGCCAATCTGAGAGAACTGCTGTGGAGCTGAGGTGACCCAGAAATAGAGGCCGTTTCCATTCCAGCCAAGAAGACATAACCCTAGAGACAAAACTTTGGAAGGATGGAGCTCTGTTTAAGTAATCTGATGACACTTAATGTAAAATTACATCGTCTATGCAACCTTTTTGTACTGCTGTTTGATGTGGCATAGTTTTATGTTATGAATCCTTTGCTGCGAGTCTCTTCAGAGACCTCTGCAGACTAAAGGATGTTAAGAATCATACAAAATAAATACTTAAAATAGTTATACACGTGTGAATCCGTGCTGTGTGATTGAGAATTTTTGAATAAATGGAAGCAAGTCATTTCTCAAAACTTGGTCTCTGTGCTTTCTCCCCTTCTGTTTCTGGGTTGCATTTATGGCAGTAGGGCACACCATCTTACTGAGAGTTAGGAAGGTTTTATTTTCTTTTAAAAATCTTCCAGTGTATTGCAAGCAGGGGGAGAACAGATTTGGGAAATATGGTTTAACTGCTCCACATATACATACCACTTCAAAATCAAAAGATTTGAAAACAAACCCTCAAACCATTTCCTTTTCATAACGGACTGATGCGGTTGAATATGCTAAGCTTTGTTTTCTGTTTATACAGAGTTAAAAATTTCATTATCAAAGCCAACAGGAAAACACTGTCCAATCCAAAGCATGTATACTCAGACAAAAGTAACATTTAATGCAGTGGGACTTACTTTCGTGTTCAGGACCACAGTCTTAGAAGACAAATCCCTCCCCAAAGGTACCTCAGTAGAATTATAGCATGTATTAACAGTAGTTTATAAGGCTGGCTACAATTAAAATGCAATTAATAAAAAACATTTGCCATATGTTAATAAATAGTCATACGAAAAAAATAAAAAAATAAAACGAGAGCGATCAAGGCTATTTTTTTCTATTTTGTTTGCTCTTCTCTGCAGAATATACAGTATTAAATTATTTCATGATCGTAAGAATTAGTCCAAAGGAAATATGTGGGGACTGCATCTTTAAATGGAGGGCTGGGGTTCCCCCATCACCAGCGAGGAGCCCAGAGGTGCCTGGGTAAGGTGCAGTGAGCAGATCGGGAGAAACAAACTCAACAGGACAGGATATTGTAATGAGAGCTGCATAAGTAAGGAAAGGATAACCTTTCCAGTCACATTTTTTTCAGCCATTGTGTTGCGGGGGGGAGGCAGTTGTGTTTTGTGGTCCTATCCCTACAGGATCAGACTGAAACTATGGTGATTTCTTAATTTAACACTTGTGGAAGTATTAAGTTAAAATCATGAGCACCCAACTGGAAGCAAAGAGAACTTGCAGCATGTGACTATTCACAATGCAAACAATAGCATCCTATTCACCTGGCTGCAGTGAGTAGAAACCCCAACAACCCATGCCTGTCGTGGACTTGTGGGTTTGATCTCCACGAGAGGTAGTGTATTCATGTTCAATAGCGCTAGTCTCACATTCATTGTCAGGCGAATCTTTAAAAACACCCCCCCACACACACACACCTTTCTCTGTAGAAACTAAATGTCCAAAAGAACAAAATAAAACCTATTTCTCAAAAAACATCAATGGACTTTCTTCTGGCTGGTTCCAGTTCCTTTTGACTTCTCTTCTCTTTGTTTGCCAACGATATGCCGATGGGACTTTTTCGAATAATCAACTTTGGTCCATCCGCCTTCACCAACTTTGCTTCCCTCTTCCTCTTCTATTTTGGGTTTGCTTTCAGTTTTCAAAGGCATCCCTGGTATCAACTTGGGCTGCTGGGGGTAATGAGGAGACTTCCTGTCATGTGACCTCGATGAGTGTTGACTGTACGTTGGCTGGGAATGCCTGCGGAATTTCTCTGGGTTCCTAGCAGCCGCCTGAGCACCCCCCGAACTTCTTGCAAAGCGCCTTCCGCTTCCTGAAACACTACGAGAGTCGCCGCTGTGGTAGCTGTGCCGGTTTTTAGTTTTGGACCTGTCTCTTTCCGAAGGGCTATCCGAAGCTGCGCTGGAGGTGCTGCTTCCCTTTGAGTTCAAATGCAGCGATGACAAATACGGTGTGGGAGACGATCCTCTCGACTGACTCAGAGAAGTGATCTGATAGGTTACAGGAACCTGGGTCCGTCTCACGGCGGCAGCGTAGGTGCCTTGGTCCTGAAGGTACGGCAAAAAACCGTTAGGGCTGTGAGGGCGGGAACGTTGGAGAGAAGGGCTGCTGGTCACTCGGCGCAGTTTCAGTGCATTCATCCATTGGGCATCAATACCTGAAAGAAAAACAGAGGGCATCAATTCTGAATTCAAGGTAATGGAATTCCTTCTGAGGAAGCGCTAAAAGTAAGGGCTGTCCATGACTTCACACAGTTGCCGGTGTCTTGTTATCTGTGGGCTGCCTGGCCATGTCACAGTCTGACAGGCAGGGCAGTTGGTTCACAGGTTGGAGAGAGAAAGAGAGAGAGGCTTAGCTCACTTGCAGTTAGATTCTTTATGAAGGGAAGCAAAACAAATAATTTACAGAGATTTCTAATGGGTAAGGGTGGCGCTGTGGGTTAAACCTCAGAACCTAGGACTTGCCGATGAGAAGGTCAGCAGTTTGAATCCCTGCGACGGGGTGAGCTCCCGTTGCTCAGTCTCAGCTCCTGCCAACCTAGCAGTTCGAAAGCACGTCAAAGTGCAAGTAGATAAATAGGTACTGCTCTGGCGGGAAGGTAAATGGCATTTCCATGCGCTGCTCTGGTTCGCCAGAAGCGGTTTAGTCATGCTGGCCACATGACCGGAAGCTGTGCGCTGGTTCCCTTGGCCAATAAAGCGAGATGAACACCGCAACCCCAGAGTCGGTCACAACTGGACCTAATGGTCAGAGGTCCCTGTACCTTTACTATCTGCAGTTAAGTTTTTGTCCATTGAAATAAGCTACAAAGTTGATATGTCAGGAAAGCTCTGATCCAATGGATGCTGGAAAACAACTCCAAAGTTCTTAGTGTGACTATGAGACACGTTTCTCTGAGAAAAGGGCATTTTAGAGAGATGCCTTCGTTTCTTGTTGAGTGAATGAGATGAGCTAATGGGAATGTGTTTTCTGAAACAGATATTAATGTCTTGTTTTATGGCAGGATCCGAGACCAGGGAGAAGAGTCAGTGGAAGAAGACTGGAAGAAATTTAAAGACTATTTACAGAGACATTGCAAAATTAATGAATGTTAGAATGATGTTGGATTGAAATTAAGTGGTTTCTAGCTGAAATGGTATAAAAGAATATGAAAAATGGTTTTTTATAAGTACAAATTCAAGGTTATAATAATTTAAGATTAAAGATCTGGGTAGAATAAAGAGGGAAAGAAACTGCTGAGCTAATAAATTGAACTGGAATACAAAAAAGGGAGGTGTGAGGAGGTCCGAGAAACAAGTAAATGAAAAATAATGTGATGTAAAAATTGATTGTTTTTAACTATTTTTATTTTGTATTTTGTATTTTTTCTTTTTCTATTTTGTAATGTAAAAATCTTAATAAAATCTTTATAAAAAAAATATTAATGTCTTGTTTTATTTTGTTTACTTATGTCCTTCCTTCAACACTGTGCATCATTAAACTTACTGGAATTTAAACTTACTGGAATTGGATCTGCTCCGAGGGTTGCCTTCTGAGTTTGGGAGCGATGTCTGTATTTTGAGCTGTATTGACTTCACCTCATCTTGAAGCTTCACTTTACTCCATTCCACTGGCTGGATATGTCTGGTGGATTTTGGAGTTCTGACAATGCTCTGTTCAACAAGATATTCAGAAGCAAAAAAATAAAGACCCTCATCGCAGTCATGCAGTGTTTGTCCAGACGCTGAACTTAGGATTGTGACATTGATGATACCATAAATTCTCATGCTGAGTTTGTTTAATATCCTCTTTTAGTTTGGCCGCAAAGAATTTTTTTCAGTTGTGCAACCAATCTGGCGGCAAATTACGCTTTCTCCCCCCCCCCCCACGCCCAAAATAGTGTACTGAACAAGGGCAAGATTTTAATGGCTGCCTTTTAACAGAACCGTTTAGTAATTATGAGATCATGTAGTGCTTCAAGTAAATAATCTTTTCTGCCAGAAGAGGTAGGCACTACGGAGGTATTGTTGCTGAGGTTCCCTTATGGTAGCTTGCCTATAGTGGCTAGCTCTTTAATCCTGCTGTCAGGCTCTGAGACCTGTGAGGAGCTACAGTCTGAAAGGAACCTAGGGTTATTCTTCCTGTTAATAGAAAGCTACTGTTCTTCACTTCTGAGGCAGGCGAGGTCCAGAATTTTCCTATATCGCTCTCTCACTGCTTGAATGCATGCCACAGGACAGAGCTGAAATTTCAATTATTAGCCTCAGTGTGAAATATCCCATTGGTCTTTAAACACTTTTTTTTTTGTAAGTATCCAAAAATCTACTCATACAAAGGCTAATTTCCATCCTATTATACATAGCTAAATTGCTTCTAGGTTTTATTTTATGTTTTCCCTCTTGCCCTTTCCCTTCTCCTGTTGTTCCTCTGCTCTGCTAATTAGCGTTTTGCCAAAAAGGTAAGAAAGATTGTCTGTTCAACAAACACCACCTACACCGACCATTACTCAAAAGGAAGAGAAAAGAAAGGTATGTGTGAGGTTTTGGTGTCCTCGGGTGTCTTCCCGTGTAAAAGTTGGGGTGTCTAGGCGACGTTTCGACGAGGTCTCACTCGTCATCTTCAGGCTGGTGCTTTCGGCTTCTTGTTACTGGAACAGAGCAGGATCTCAGTGTTTGAGTTCCTATAAATACTGTTGAGGGGGTGTGGTGTATAGCCTCCAATGTTCTGGGCAGAGAGGAAGTTCCCAGGCTAGTGTGCCTTTTCTTCTTTTGTTCCTTAATTACTTGAGGGATATCTTGAGTGATTTCTTGAGTGATATTCTGAGTACCACTTAGGTGGGTCATTAGGTGTGGATTAGTTGCTAAAGCCTTCGTGTCTTGGCCTCTTGAACTTTGTGAAGAGTTTTTCTGAGAAGATGGCTGTACTGCACTTAGTTGTGCTCTGGCTTGGCTTCGGGTATAGGGGCGAGCTATGGTTTTGTGCCCTGTGCCAGCCAGATCTGTGTAGGGATTGCAGGGGGGTGCAGCATCCGGAGGTGCCACCATGGTTTGGCTACTGGATGGTGTCTGTAATTTATCTGTGGAGAGGGTCTGGGTTTGGGTCTGGTGTGGTTGATTGGTGATGGCGTTCTGTGTGCCTCTGGATCTGGTGTCGGTTTTTGTGGGGAGGGCTAATTTCCAGATGTCTGGCAGGCGGGACGTGTCGTCACGCTTGTTCATGTTGTGAGGGTGTTTCTCTATCAATCAACCACACCAGACCCAAACCCAGACCCTCTCCACAGATAAATTACAGACACCATCCAGTAGCCAAACCATGGTGGCACCTCCGGATGCTGCACCCCCCTGCAATCCCTACACAGATCTGGCTGGCACAGGGCACAAAACCATAGCTCGCCCCTATACCCGAAGCCAAGCCAGAGCACAACTAAGTGCAGTACAGCCATCTTCTCAGAAAAACTCTTCACAAAGTTCAAGAGGCCAAGACACGAAGGCTTTAGCAACTAATCCACACCTAATGACCCACCTAAGTGGTACTCAGAATATCACTCAAGAAATCACTCAAGATATCCCTCAAGTAATTAAGGAACAAAGAAGAAAAGGCACACTAGCCTGGGAACTTCCTTTCTGCCCAGAACATTGGAGGCTATACACCACACCCCCTCAACAGTATTTATAGGAACTCAAACACTGAGATCCTGCTCTGTTCCAGTAACAAGAAGCCGAAAGCACCAGCCTGAAGATGACGAGTGAGACCTCGTCGAAACGTCGCCTAGACACCCCAACTTTTACACGGGAAGACACCCGAGGACACCAAAACCTGCATTCCTGTACCCGTGAAAATCTACGAAAGCAAATATATATATATATATATATATATATATATATATATATATATATATATATATATATATTGCACTTAAGGGAGCAAGCTTTCCCAGCTAGGAGTCTGGGTGTGATTTCTGAAGATGGCATTCAAATTCGCATGAGAAGTTGGTAGTTTAAAATTAATTACAGTATTTGGCGTTGACTACAGTGGGCAAGAAAGTTAAGGCATGTCAGCTCCTTATTCTGAAGCCCTACAGGCAAAAGGAGCAGGTTGACTCCCCACCCACCCACAACACTTACCTCATAAGTAACTAAACATTCCACAGTCTGATTGTCTTCTATTCCCACAATCCATTTCTCCATTACAAAAGGTGGCTGCAAAATAAAAATAAACGAAAGAAACATTTTTGTTTTCTGCCTCATTGTGCGAATCAACTTCTATGCATCCATCCTCTGTCCTTCAGAAAGAAAGCAAACACAGAAACTGTGTCAAATGACTAAATAAATACAAAAGTACAAATCTTAGCACATGATGTCTCGTTGGGCCTGCATGTCTTCCATGATTTATTTTCATGTTTAGGCATTTCATTTTTTGTCATGCTTTTATTGTTTTCTATGCAACCAACTGACCGATTCATTTCATACTGTATACTCATTGCTGGTTAGAAGTTTAGGCATAGGCATATGCCCTTAAAAATAAGTTTACAGTAATATCTCTGCGAATGTCCACCGCATCTAGTGTCCATTCAGGCGAACGTCCGTAGCAAACCTGGAAGTACCGGAACGGGTTACTTCTGGGTTTGCCGCTCGCGTGTGCCCTGTGTCCTTTTCAGTTAGCAGCTGGGGCTCCGGAACAGATCCCACTTGCAAAACAAGGTACGACTGTACCAGGCTGCAGAAAACCTGCTTGGACTACTGCAATGCGCTCTATGTGGGGCTACCTTTGAAGGTAACACAGAAACTAAAATTAATCCAGATTGCAGCAGCTAGACTGGTGACTGGGAGTGGCCGCAGAGACCATATAACACTGGTCCTGAAAGACCTACATTGGCTCCCAGTACGTTTCTGAGCACAATTCAACTTGTTGGTGCTGACCTTTAAAGCCCTAAGCGGCCTCGGCCCAGTACACCTGAAGGAGCGTCTCCACCCCCACCGTTCAGCCCTGACATTGAGGTCCAGTGCCAAGGGCCTTCTGGGGTTCCCTCGCTGCAAGAAGCCAAGGGAACCAGGCAGAGGGCCTTCTCGGTAGTGGCACCCGCCCTGTGGAACACCCTCCCACCAGATGTCAAAGAGAACAACAACCACCTGACTTTTAGAAGACATCTGAAGGCAGCCCTGTTTAGGGAAGCTTTTAATGTTTGATGTTTTATCATGTTTTTAATATTCTGTTGGGAGCAACCCAGAGTGGCTGGGGAAACCAAGCCAGATGGGCAGGAGACTATATATATATATATATATATATATATATATAATTAATAATAAGTATTATTATTAGTATTACTATTATGAATGAGCTCTAATACTAAGACTTGGGTCCAGACTTGCCCAAGCAGAAGGCCATTTGTGCAGCTGGGCTTTTCCCCACCCCTCCTCCTTACTGCAGACCCCTTCCCCTGACAGGCTACATCTTACACACTTTTCAGAAGACCCAACAGGATTTCAAACAATGAACACAACAATCTTTCTCAACCTGGTGCCTTCCAGAAGTTTTGGATTACAGCCCACATCAGCCCCAGCTAGCACAGCCAACAGTCAGGGATGACGGGAGTTGCAGTCAAAAATATCAAGAAGGCACAAGGTTGAGGAAAGCTGGAAGAGGACACATTCAAATAGCAGGTTGAGTCTAGGGCTATTTCCACACCAGGCGCTTAGGGTGGAATTGCCATTCTTCAATCACTCCCCGTTTTTATGGGACACCCATGGAATTCCATAAACCACTCTATTGTCACCCTGTATTTTCCTGCAGTTCTTCTGTCTTTGAACTAAACAAATAAAATTTAAAGATAACTGTCAGGGATGGTTCCCTGACAATAACACCCTTTCCTAATCATTTTCCCCCCTGAAGAAGCATTTTAGCATTAGTTGAAAGACTGAGTTTAAATAACAAACAGGCTGATAATATGAAATGAACATACAGGAAAAACAGTGCAATTTTTCGAATTGTGTGGAAAACCAGTGGAAAAGCCATTATTATTAATCCAGAAGCAGTTTTCCTAGAATAGCACATTTCTACCATGAATCTGCTGTGGGTTTTCCCCTTCATAAAATGGAAGGAACCTGGCCAAACCTCATAAATCCTGGTGATTATAGGCCTGGTCCAAGACACCTTCCCACTAAATATACCTGTTTTATTTCCCCATTTTAATGACATAAATTGCTGCCAAAGGCCAACACTTTATTTTCTCAGCACACCTTGATGAACACTCTTCTCATTTAGAACTTGTCTGTACATTGTCTGATGTACGATATACCTTGTTACAGAACCAAGAAATCACACACTTTAATTGTAATATCTTAAGCGTGCCATCGCTTTCTTATTACCATGACTGAAAAGGTAATGTTAACAGGGAAAAAAAATCTATTGTGATACAAATGTGGGAAGGGGTGGGGGGTCTTTAAAAGCTGCCAGCAGAATGAGTTTCTATAGGCACAAAAGTCTGCCGCTGTGGTATTTTAATACCTTTGTTCGAGATCTAGGCAATCATGAAAGCTTCAAGCCCGTAAACAGAACCTTACCTTTGTCATCTTTAAAATCTCTGTGTCAGGTAAGTTAGTGTTAAATGTCACGTCTTTTATGTAAGTTATTGCAATCTCATCCCCATCCATTTCCATGTACATCTTCCATTTACAGTCCTGGCACGGAAAAGAAAATACAGAATATCAAAACTGGACACTGGAGCAATTGTGACTTTTTGTTGTCTCCAAGCAAAAAAAATAAAAATAGAAACCCCAATAAATTAATCGATTTTATATTATCTTAGGAACTGAAGCATCCAAACTCCATTTTAATGTGAAATAATCCTTACTTGTCAGCAAGAGGGGTTCTTAAATGGGTTTGGGGACGCTCCTTATCCCCAAACAACACCGAAAGGTCAGGGGTTTAATCTGAAATTCCTAAAAAAAAAGGTAAAGGTAAAGGAACCCCTGACAGTTAAGTCCAATCGCAGACGACTCTGGGGTTGCGGCGTGTCCGCAGACAGTTTTTCCGGGTGATGTGGCCAGCATGACTAAGCCTTCTAGTGCAACGGAACAAACCGCCGCACAACGGGAGCTCACCCCATCGCAGGGATTCGAACCACCAACCTTCTGATCGGCAAGCCCAAGAGGCTCAGTGGTTTAGACCACAGCGCCACCCGCGTCCCCCTGAAATTCCTACCACAGGATAAAAAGACAACCCGCTTTTCAGTAATTTAAAACTTAAACAGGTTGCCTTTCCCGCAGCGTTGCAAAGGGCCACAGAGAAATCTTTTTAAATAAACTTCATCTTTCCGAATATGCTTCGTCTCTATATGTACATATAGCTTTAGCTGGCTCACAGCCACAAAGCACAAATTTGGAAGCCTTTCAAGTATTCTGCATCAGCAAGCAGGGAAATGTGGATGGCATGCAGGAAACAAGCAAGTCTCAAGAGAACAAAACCTAAGGACTTCTGTTCCACATATATGACAGCCTTTCGCAGCATGGCGCCCTCCAGCTGTTACTACAGCTCCCATCAGGCTCTGCCACAACAGGTATGCCAGTTGGAGCTGATGGTAGTTTTAGTCCAAGAGTAGCTGAAGGGAACCAGGCTGAGGAAGTCTGTTATCTGCAAATGTCACCCGAGTTAGAATATTATTTACATCTGCACCTGGAGCATGTTTTCCTAAAAGGATCAGAGAAGCCATTTGAACTACACACATTCAACAGGTGGTCTGTTATTTTGAGAGCAAGTGCTGAGGACTGTTTTAATAAGCGGTCTAGGAAAATTCATAGATTAACAGCAAATGGCCTTAAAACAAGGCATTTCAAATTATTTTCAATTTCTCATTAAGTATTTACTTCATGATTCCATTTCCCAGGAAGGCACCAGAGAGTGATTAACAACAACAACAACAACAACAATTAAAAGAATTTCAAATCCAGCAGAGATTAAAAAAAATATATTCCTTCCTCTCAGCTGTTCAGGGCAACATCATTGGCCATTCCACATTTTATCCCTATCACACAAGGATGAGCCCACCCTGTCTTCATTCCCATTTTATAGAGAAGTCAGACAATGCTGGTGACAAGTAATTGTAGTCCACTGTTTTCTACGTTGATACCTCGTGTTTTTAAAGAACGATTAATAAAGAAGAAAAAGAAGGGGGGAAACCAGAGAGTTTCCACACCAGCAATCTAATGTGGCCAAGGCTTTTGTGCCTTTAATTACATTGTGCATCATTCTGGCTTTGGGGGGGCTTTTGTGCCTTTAATTACATTTTATTGCCTGTTTTCTGCTGATGGTGGAAGTAGGAATTAATGACGACTCAGTTAGGAGTGACATTGGGGCAATTAGTTTCTTCAGCATTACTCCTTCAGCTGTGATCAACAGGAAGCAATGAAATGAAAAGGAGGAGGAAAGAGGAACCTTTTAATTAACATTAGGAAGGACTTGTGAGAAAACATAACAGAGGGGCCTTGGCCACTGGGAAGGGCATTGATATAGCACTGTATTAAAAGCTGTGGGTAACCAATGTTTTAAACCTGCGTCCAGCTAATTTAGAAAAGCAACCCCTTAGCATCACTAAAGAGTTCTGTGTGTGAAAACAACTTTAGCGATCTTCTAGCATGGATTCAGACCTAAATGTCCTTAGTCCAAGTCCTACAACCACCACACCAAACCTGCTCTTTTTGTGCACAGTACAGCTAAGAAAAACAGGACATTGAGAATAATTTTTTACTATATAATAATACTTTTTTTTATTTATACCCCGCCCTTCCCGGTTCAGAAAACTGGGCTCAGGGCGGCTAACAACAAATTTAAAACACTTAATTGTAGAAGCAGCATAAAATACAGTATAAAAACACAAATAACAATAAAATTCAAACTTCAAAAATCAATTTGGGGGAAATCCATCTAATAAGCATTAGATAGTCACCAGGGCTAGCTGGCTGAATTAGTCCTACTTGGGCCAGCGAGGAGGCCAGGGGAGAATTAGCTGTGGGGTCTCAGAGCGGGTAATCTTCATAAAAGGGGAGGGGGACGGAAGAGAAGGGAAATAAAAGATCAGGCTGGATTCAAATTAAAGGCCAGGCGGAATAGCTCTGTCTTACAGGCTGGACAGAAGGAGGTTAAATCCTGAAGGGCCCTAGTCTCATGGGACAGAGCATTACACCAGGTTGGAGCCATCACTGAAAAGGCCCTGGCCCTGGTGGAGGATAGTCTGACTTCCTTAGGGATATATATATCCTTAACAAATGCTAAAATGGCAATGAAAAGACATTCCACGTGATTTAACAGCAAAGGCCATGTTTTGTATCGAATCCCTGTAAAATGTTCTTATTCCTAAGTCCATGCAGTTGACATAAATGTAAAATATTTGGGCTCTTATTCATTATTGTGTTTTCATATGTTGTTTGTTTGTTTTAAATCAGTTTCAGCAAAACTTTAAGCAGATGGACCAGTCTTCTTTCTGTATGGGAACAACCCATATTAACTTGTATCACTGTAGTCATGATAATTAGGCATAGCTGCCAGAAAATGACCCCAGCTACTTCATGACTCTCCAGGGGCCTCGCTGCTGTATCTGCCGTCAAGAAAGGCTTTCGACTCTGGTTAGCATTGACCCGTTACTTCTTAAGGAGTCAGCCCAAGGATAAATATTTAGGGGAATCTAAAATTAAGCTACATTGCTGCCAGCATATGACAGAGCAGTACCATTTTGGAAGTTTAATATAAGATTACATAATTAACTATATTCAATTTAGACTTGGTTATATGTGTTCACTTTTTAGTCTCCTTGCTTTCCATTTTTATCTTGCGCGCCCTGAAACCCTGCATGTGAGCTCAAATATATATATTTTCCACCTGTACGGTATCTCTACATCAACCCACAAGCTTCAATACATCTCAAAACGAAAAGCGGCAGGCTATGGCTACTTGACCCTCAATGGTTTCATGTCGCAGGATGGTCTACTTTACAGTGGCAAAAATACAGAAATTCAGATACATATAAAATACTGTAACTTGACCTTGCTCCGCAGGAGATGAATAACAGGCAATGGTACAGCGACCATAGTTAATTTTACTGTGCTGGGAAATGGCGCTATCGCTACAAAGAGCTTAGAGCAGAAAGAATGTAAACGTTTTGCAAAGATGTTGTTGAGAATTTGGAAAATGGAAAACAAGTGCTCAGCAGAGTCACTGAATATGTGGTAAGATTAAAAACAAAACAAAATCCAAGACCTGAAATAATTAGAGGTCCCCTGTTAAGTTGTAGTTATAGCCCCAGGTACAACCTGAAATATGGGAGTAGCGTAGCCTCAGTTGCCAGTGCCCGGGGCGGGCATGGATGCGCCGGGCGGGGAACTCCAGCCCAGTCCTCGCCGCTGATAGAGCAACCCCACCACCGCCAGAGCAAAGTGGGACCATGCGGAGCCACCTGCCCCCCGTGCAGGGGGAGCCCGGCCAGCTGATACGGCCCTTGGTGGGCAAAGAGGAGCAGCGGGGAGCATGGTTTACATACCCTCAATAATTGTGCAGCCAGGGGCCACGCCCCCTAGCACTGCCCATGCTATGCCCCTGAGAACAGTGCAATCTTAACCATGTTTACTGAGAAGACACTCTGGTTACAATGGGAACTTACCTCCATGTGTGTATAAGGATGGGCCACCTGTGGCCCTTGAGATGCTACATTGCAACTCTCCTCATCTTTGACCGTTGGTCTTACTGGCTAAGCATGACTGGAGTCCAGCAACGACTGGAGGAGCACAGCTTCTCCGTTGTACGTTAACACAGACACACCTTCCACGAAAGCATCATACAGCTTATCAGAAATTAAATCCAAGTGGCTTTTTTGTCTTAAAGGTTGCAGACCCCTGTCCTATCCCAACTTGTCTGTACAAGTTCAACAAAATCAGCAGAGTTAACATTCCCCTTTTTTAAACACACGCACAGCAGATAGCTTGCGCTCACTCGTTGGAGTCTCTGTAAATATTTCCTGGTATTTTCCCTGTTTAATCCCTCCTAAAATAAGACGCTACGCTACGTCTTCTGTAAAGTATAGAACGTTTACTCACAAGTAATCATCTGTTCACACAAAGGTTCCCAGAAGGCAGACTTAAAAGGTTATAACATAGTTTAAATGGGGTGACTATCTCCTTATGGGAGAAACCCCCCCCCCTTTCTTCTCTTGGCCTGGAGCCAAGGGTGCATCTTAGTAGTGCTGTTGTTAAGATGGCATCGATAGAGACCAGAGGAGACAAGATGGTCGCCAGCTTGTGGTTCTGGTTCTTTCTACTCCATCTCAAGTTACACATAGGAAGTTTCATCTCAGTCCTGGAAAGCAGGAAGTTCTGGTTGGAGGACTGAGACAACCTTTATGTCTACTCTAGCAATGTTGTGTTTGACTGCATCTGATTCTTACATCCCACAGGCTCTATGGACAATGCTGGTAGAGCCAAAGGGGGCGGGGGGAGATTGGGGCACGTCCGGGGAGGAAAGGGGAAGGGCTTGGACCCCAAACCTTCCTGATCACCTGATACCTACCCCACCTCTGAGCTAGAGAGAGGTTTAGAGAGAGGCTCAGAAGCTACCATAAATCTCTCCTGATTTCTCTCCCCATTGTTTCTATTGGGAGGGAAACAAGTTATTTTAAAAAACAAAATCATGAAAA